ATGCAAAAGGCAAATGAATTCCTCGCAAGCCATGACTTGGAGCCTAACTACAATGATGCTAAATGCATCACTACCAATAGCAGGGCAGGGGAGGGGTTTTCATGGATATCACAGCAGGGATTTGGAGATGTGAAACCACCCTTGCATCATAGTCTTGATAAAAAGTGGGTGTTCACTATTAAATAAACAAAAGCCACTGATGTGGATGGGCAGTGACCCATTTAATATCACATGTAGTTAGAGCGTTAGGTTTGTGGGGTCATCAGAGCCAGGATTATTTCTCTTTTTTAAGGTGAACTTTGAGCTAAGTTTACAGGCACATGTACCCCTTTGCTGGGAAAAGCAGCATTTCAAGGTGGAGCGTGTGTGTTGTGATTATCTTATTAAACAAAGTACAGCGAAAATGAATTAGTTTTGGGGAAAGTTGCAAAAATATGGCACATATGTGTCTTGAAAGTTTTATCTAGGCAGCTTAAGGAACCATAAAGTAATTTAACACATATTTTTGAGCAATGGTGTGCAACGATTTTGGTTTCCCTCGGTTTCTCATTTGTCCAATCTTATGCTCCGTTCTTTACATTAGCACATCGGTTTGGGAATTTTTTAACTCCTCATGCAAAATCAACAGTATTTCAGTGCGAATTTCTCCTAATATAACATTTGTATGCAATTTTATCTATTAGACTCATTTTTACAAAGCAATTTTTTACTTTTCACATATATATGCTTTTTTAATATACCTTTTCTCCTAGTGTGTGACTTTTTGCACACATTTCCTGGCTGGAAAACTGCATTGCAATGTTTGGAGAAGCCTGAATTTCACAGGATGGCTGTCTTTCAGTTTGCACAATGTCTCAAAACGTGTGAAATAGTTAGGTTTGCCTTTAAATGAGAACTGAATTGAATTTCTCTTCCCTGTCTGCTCAGAACTAAGAGATGACAGAATTCAACCAGTCTTACCTTCCGGTATTTGTGACTGGCGATATATCTAAAGACCTGGAAAGGCGAGCCTTATTAGACTTGCTATGTCACTTATTCTTGAGACGGCTGAGAAGATATTAGAGAAGCTGTTAATCTGCTGATGTAATAAAGTAAGCCCATTGCAGAGTATTATCCCTTGGCACTTTTTCTCTCACATACATTTCTGACAGGTCATCTTTCCTCTGAGCTGCTGTTGGACAGCAAAAGCCAAACCCCCTCATTTAATTTTAGACCTGTACTATATTTCCAGTTACTGTTTTCTCTCACTGTATGTAATTCAACTTCATGTTGCAGAAGAGCTAAGAATAGTCACCAAATCCATTCTGGCATGACTTGAAGAGTGGGCACAACAGGAGTTTGGATTGGGTAAGAACTCAAACTGTCACAGTAGAAGTCTGGAGCATATTCTCAAACAGAAATTCAGAAGACTGGTTAACCAAAGTATGGGGTATAGTGAATATGATAAAAGTGATCAATCTGATAGGGCAAGAGGGGGAAGGTAGTTTTAGAATGCTTTGTAGAAGAATGATGTACGTTCATAATGCATTGGATGAGAAAGGCACAATCAAATGCAACTCACACATACAGTGGTACCTCGGTTTAAGAACAGCCCTGTTTACAAACGATTCAGCTTATGAACTCTGCAAAACTGGAAGTTGTGTCCTGGTTTGCAAACTTTACCTCAGTCTAAGAACGGAATCCAAATGGTGGATGGGCACCAGCGGCAGGAGGCCTCATTAGGGAAAGCGCACCTCAGTTTAAGAACGGTTTCAGTTTAAGAATGGACTTCCAGAACGGATTAAGTTCGTAAACTGAGGTATCACTGTACTTTGTTAGGCGTGATCTATGATTATTATCAAATGCACACTTATTCTTAGTCTATATGGCCATGTATATGATAGTATAATTATTAATGGAAAAGGTAATCTTTTTTTCTTCATTTTTTAATTATCCTTTCTTCCTCTTTTTGCACATACATTATATAAATATATCTTCCTTCACTGGTACTGTACTTTTTTACAATAATGATCATGATAATGACATTCAGAAGATGTCACACAGTCTCTCACACATTTTCCATAGTTGACTTTGTTTTAGCAACTTGTTCATGTCCAAACTGTATTGTTTTTAAAAATCCCAATGAGATAATTTGCTTTCATGATTGTGGCTCTGTTGACTGGCCTGCTTCTTTACACCTGTAGAGATTATTTCTCTAAAAGCTTAACTTAAATATGAAGGCACTTAAATGATAAGTGGTTGTTTTCTTAACAATAGTCACAGACGTGAGGAAATAAGAGTTCATCCTGGGTCTGCACAATTCACAGTTGGAAATCTTTTACCTTTGGGGTAAAAAGTAAAGAACTGAGGTCATCACATTATGAAATTATGTGATCTTAGTTAATGTGCCACTGGTTTTATCTGGTAATGTATAACTATAGGTCAAGAGTGAAAATCCTGAGAGTTTGGTTACTACTGTGCTAGTGAATCCCAACCCTCATTCAAAGTATTAGCACTGGGCTCTGTGGATTCTGAGTAGCAAAATGTCATTTCCATCATGGAAATTTTCTTAAATGCACAGGCCAGGGTAGGGGATGCAGTGCTGAGTTTGGGAGTGGGAGGCTCAGATTCAAATGTAATGATTGAACTGGGTACATAGACATTTTCTTACAAAAAGGGTCAAATACCCCCACTCCCCACCCTGATGAATGTGCAGAATACAATATCCAATTTCTTTGGATTTGCTTTTTGGGACAAAACACATACACAGTGTATACAGTGAAGGAACAGCACAGTACACATAACTCTGTGTCTATGCTGGTTTAACCATTTTGCAACATCTGTGATACATTGTCCACTCTGGACAGTTACTTTGTATTTCATAATTCTGAGATTAGGAAACCTGTTTTTCTAGTTCTCAGTAACCTGGCAGCAAGTGATGTTACTCCTAAAATATGCCTCAGTTTAGCAATCTGTTTCCAAAGAATTCAACCCATTAATTTGCTTGTTGCTGGTCCAGTCTCCTTCTTTGCATGACATTTGCACCACTGTCCCAATAATGTGAAAAGTAAGCCAGCAGATCTAAGCAGTGTGTGCGCATATAGTGAAACGTACACAGGAACAAATTCAGCAGTAACAAAAGCCCCATATGGAATATACATGTGAGGGTGGACAATTGTATTGCACCTGCTGGTCCAACCACTGGCTTTCATATGCTCACTTGAACCTAAGAAAGGAGTCTACATGCGATTCAGGGATCACTGATGCAACCAAAGGTTGCAGGACATGTGTACTGACCCAAAGCACATACAAGATGAATGGGTGCAAGATCTGTCCAGGCATTTGGGCGAACAAACAGAGGACACAGCAAGTATGACAAGTTCATATCCCAAAGGGATTGCTATCTAAAACAGACCAGGGGAAATAACAATATTAAATAATTAGCTGAGCACTCCTAGAAATACGTAGGTCATTTTGTTGCAGCAAAAGGGGAAAAGAGACAATGTAAAGGTGAATTGATTATGGCACAAACTTCCACATCCAAGTATCTGTTGGAAACACCTTCCTGTCCATCGTTACATTTTGCTGGAAAAACAATTAAGAGCATAGGTATATTTCTGATTATCAACAACAATCCTCCTAGTGTTGATGGCTGGGGATGGGTGGGTATTAACAGAGGAGCAAGTATGCCCCATCCTAGCCTACTTGTCTCTTCACCAGCCTCTGCTATGAGAGAAGAGCACTGCTGCTGGGGAGTAGGGGGCTCACTAAGCAAGCTTCACCTGCCAGGTGGGAACGTACCACTAGCAGCAACCCAGGGTGTTTCACAGCACTGCCAGCTTTGCATCTGCTGAATCCAAATCCTTGTAATCCCTCCACAGCCCTGATCCTCAGACTCCTCAGCTGGGCCAGCCTAGAGCTAGTGCAGCAAAAAATGTGGGGTGGGTGGGAACTGTCCCCCACTCGCACTTTCTGCCTTGGCCAGCAGGAGTTGGCAGAGCTGCAGCTGAAGTGGTGGGTGCCAGACCCTCCCCAGGCCCCCTATTGCTCTATAGCTCAAAATGAAGCAGCAGCAGCAACTAATCTGTGTTAAAGCTAATGCTATTTAGCCTAAATTCTCTTTTGGCTAAATTTTCCTTCCTATCCATCCAGAGAATTCATGATGATCTTCTTGAGTTCTTCTGTTTTCAGGAGGATACTTAAGTTAAAGATTGCCAAGATCTTTTAGAAGCAGAGTGCTCTCATGTTTCTGTAACTGCTTAGTAATGTTCACCCTATGGATGAGGAGGTGAGATGATTTTCATTTCATCCCCACAAATATCGCTGGCCACTTTGGGTTTCTTATACTCTGTCAGGTTATGTAATTCCAGCTATATGTCCACCAGTGTTGGATTTATGAATAAGCTAAACAAGCTATAGCTTAGGGCCCCACTCCCTTGGGGGGGATTTAAAGAAAAAAATCCTGGATGTACATTTCCAAAATATAAGATAAAAAACAAATAAAATAAAACCTACATACAGCAACAGTGTTTTGTGTTGTGTAGGCTCCTATGATGTAAGTAATGGGCCCCGCAAATTGTTATTTGCACATTTGTTATGTGCAAAACTTCCCTTTTTCAAAAGCAAAAAACATATATGTGAACAAAGCAACTTAGTTATTTGCATTTAATTGGTAACATATCCAGACTGTTTCTGTAGCCTTTGACTCTTGTGGCACTGTCCCTTTAAACTGGGTGAGTGTGATGTCACTGTGGGTTTTGAAGGCACTTTGGGAGAGACACAGTGTGAGAGGTTGGAATCAGAGTTGTTTCAGTTCTGAGGCTGCTGAAAGTTGTCAAAGAAACAAACTGCTGCAGTCACTCTGGGACACTGTGGGATGTGGAAAAAAACAGGCTGAAGGAGGCAGATTCAGATTCTCTTCTGTTGCTTGCTTGGTGCTGAAGGAGCTGAATGCGAACTGCAAACTGTCCAAGAATAAAACTGAACAGGACTGCTTTTAAAAAAACAATAATAATAATATTATGGGCAGCCTTCAGTTGGATGATTTTGTAGCTGGATGGGTAGGAGGTAAGTGACCCTTGTGGGGTGCTGTGAAAAAGGATCAGCAGAGGGGCACATATTGAGCTGAATACTAGTTAACTCTGAGCTTGGCTGATGGTACACATGACATTCTGTGTAAGTGTTCCATGTATGTTAATATGTCCAATTTTGGAAGAAAAGTTCTGAATTAAGCAGTATTCCTTCATTGTGCCTCATGAAGTTTTATCTACTTGTTATGGATATAAAGACCTGTGTGTGTGTGTGTGTGTGTGTGCGTGCGTGTGCGTTTGTGTGTGTCAAAGGTAGCATACTCACACCCACAGGTAATGTATAGTTCCGATTTTTTTAAAAAAAAGTATACTTCTGGGTGAAATACCATTATTAGCATATCCTAAGTCAATTAGCTATGGAGACAGAGCCCAGTGTTTGGACAGCTGGGACATTATGTTGGCCAGTCAAAATGCACCATTCATCCACTCCCTTGCCCTTCATGAACTCCAGTTCTTTCTAGAAATCCTGATAAGAAAATATGGATAATTGCCAGCATTTCCAGGCCACTTTGCTGCCTGTTTTCTGTGTGTGGACAAAAAGGCTGATTGCCTCCCCTCACTCTTCTTGTTCACTTGGATCCAGAGGTACTGTAAGGCCCTACAAAAAAAGAGATCATTTCCTCGGATTTCCTCTTCCCATGTAGCTCCCTATCCTCCATCAAAATTTGCTCTGGAGATGTGGGAAACATAAATATTTATGGGAAACATAAATACCAATGGGCTGGATTCATAGATCCAGTGGATTTCTGCTCTTTGAATGTTTCAGTTGATAGAAAGGGGGAAGCGAATTTCCCAAATTTATCTGCCAGCAGCCTTCTCCACAAAAACTGCATCAGAGGCTCAGAAGACTCCTTTTCCACAAGAATACATGAGAAGTAATGCGGGTAATTTGAACCCCTGACCTTCCGATCGGCGAGCCCAAGAGGGTCAGTGGTTTAGACCACAGCGCCACCTGCGTCCCTAGGGCATGAATAGGGGAAACTAAGTGAAATTTACCTTTCCCTCCTCTAACCGAGAGAGCTTCTGCTGGACTGAAGCCAGATCTGCAAAGAGATGGAGCCCTTCCAGGAATGGAAGAACCCCTTTTGCAAATGGAAGGGCTCTGCTGGCTTCACGCCAGTTGTTTTTCTGGATTCCTATTGGGAATCGAAAGGCAATGCTTGCCAGAATGGGCTACTAACAGTCCATGAGTAAATATACACATACACGAAGCATTCAAAAGTGGATCTTGTGGTGACAAGCGCTGCACTGTACATGGATGGGTAAAATCTCTCATCAGCTCCCTTTTTGCTCAGAATTTACCAGCTCTCCGAGCAAGCATTTGGGACAACCTCATCTGTTTTCTGAAAACGTGGACTACAGGAGCCACATGCACCCCAGGAGATCACCTTGTGGTTTACGATGGTGGCATTTGCCATGCATCCATGGCTACTGAGAGCTCAGATAGACAATTTGCCAGATTTTATTTTTTATTTTTGGTAAAACTGTCCAAAGGAAACATTCGGGACAGGAAAAATTACTTTCTGTGCTTTTCTCATTGGAGGAATAGTCATGCAAAAAGTTGCTTCAATTTAATGAGCTCTTGATGCATTGCAGCCCTTGAGATGAAGCTGAAGAAAGGAACAGTCATAGCTCGGTGCTAGCAGAGCATCTGCTTTGCATGCAGAAGCTTCTAGGTTCAGTCCCTGGCATCTCCAGTTTGGGCTGGGAATGTCCCCTGCCTGAGACCCTAGGGAGCTGCTGCCAGTAGACAACACTGAACTAGACAAACCAGCAGCTTATGTTCCTAGGAGGAATCGGAAATACTGGTGTGTGTTTTTAGTAGAAAGGTCATATTGGGTAGTATGGGCTATTGTCCCTCCAGTAATGGACAGCTGATTCAGTAAAGGCTTATGTAAGCAGAATGGAGGGAGGAAAGCAATTTTTGCATATTTCCTCTTCTCCCTGCATTATCTACCACCCACCCCTCCAAATCCGCCTGGTGGATTGGGGGACTCTTTGAACCATGTGAGAGGTGGCATGGGGGTGAAGAGGGGAGGGCAAATTGGGATCAATATTCCCCTCCTTGTTCCATTGACAGGAGCCTCTGATGGATTAAAGAGCCTCCCCGTAGCAAGAAGCAGAATTAGATACGACTAACGTATTCCCGAACCTTTGTTCATGTGTTTACTGTATTTTCCAAGTATGACACAAAGTAAGACCCTCCTGGATTGTATCAGGGATTTGTGGCTTTCTCCAGAAAGGAGAGCATATGAAATGTCTGTGATAGCTTTGCAAAGTTTCATTGAGCCTGATCCTCCTTCGAGCCAAAAAGGGGGTTGGTCTGTCTTATCCCATGATTCTTTGTACTGTCTGAGGCAGAATATGCACATATTTCCCCCCTGTGCAATGTGAGAGCTTCCTCTCTTCATCAGGCCCTCATATGTTCATTAGGAAGATCATTGAATCTTAGAACTGTAGAGCTGGAAGAGAGCCCAAGGGTCATATTGGTGGTGGGTGATGAAAGGATTCTGCTTCACAGATTACAATGAAGCAGAGAACAGGAAGTACGAGTGGCTTGTGCTTCCTTTGGCGCTCTCCACCAAGTCATAAGATTCTAAGTCACTGAAGAGATGAGTTATAGAGAAGAACAGGAGTACAGTCTTCCTTGTTTTCTTCTTTTGAGGAATTTCCCTACTCCTTAGATTGGGTTGCCACATTCAGTGTTTGGCCCTCCTTCTCTGGCCTTGGAGACGGCCTTAGATCTCAGGTCCAACAGCTTCTCCATTGGCTTCCCCACTCTCTCATACCCAGTTCCAGGGCTTTCCCTCATAATGATGTGAATGCTTGTGCTCTCTTGATATTGACTGTTCGTGCCTTCCTGCTTTTAAGAGGTGCGAAGATGTATAGTACTGAATTGTAATCCTACCCCTTTCAGGAGAACCTGAGGTGACAGCCTCTTATTGTTATTTGCAGAGTAAGAGTTCAGGCATGCAGGTGTCCCAGGAAAATGTATGAGATCTTCTGAAGAGGCTGCAACAATATCCTTTAGTTTACCAGAAGTGAGCATAGAAGGAGGTTGGGGTGGAAGATGGACTGGGGGTGTTCCTGGTAACCCTGTTGAATTTCTTAAGCAGGAGAATCATGTGCACCATCTTGAGCGCCTTGGGAGAAAATGTGGTATATATAAATCATAGAATCATAGAATTGTAGAGTTGGTCATCTAGTCCAACCCTCTGCAATGCAGGAATCTCAGCTAAAGCATGTAAATACGTAAATACATACATACATACATACATACATACATACATACATAAGTGGCAAATAGAAAAGCCAGCTATCCCAGGTCTCTTGTTTTGCTAATTAACTCTTATAAGAGAGACTGTTAGTTACTTTGCAAAATCCTTGGAGTAAGAGAAATAAGGCTATTTTTCTCATTGCTTCTTACCCTAAGATACATAGCTTTTGTAACAGGTGTAAAATTCTTATATTTCACTTGATGAAAGAGTTAAGGAAGGGGGAAGTCTTCAAATTACAGCCTAATAGTGTGTGTGTGTGTGTGTGTGTGTGTGTGTGTGTACACACACACACACAGTGGTACCTTGGGATGCGAACGGGATCCGTTCCAGAGCCCTATTCGCATCCTGAACAGAACGTAAGACGCGTCTGCTTCCGCGCATGCGTGTGACGTCATTTTGACTGTCTGTGCATGCGCAAACGGTGAAACTCCGTTACTTCCGGGTCACCGTGGAGCGCAACCCAAAAATACTTATCCTGAAGCATATTTTTCCCAAGGTATGACTGTGTGTGTGTGTGTGTGTGTGTGTGTGTGTATAGTGCCATGCTCATGCAACATCCTCTTCTGTTTTTCAATGGGCAAATGTTCATTTGGCGAATAGCACAGCCTGCCGTCTTGCTATTACCTCCCAAGGGAGCACATTTCACGGCCACCAGCCTTTCCAGCTGATTCTGTCTGGTGGCAGTCCCAGACACTGTAGTGGTTGTTTATACTGTAAAGCTGTAAAATGACAAGGTAATTAACGGTAAGGAAAATGTAAATGACCTGTCACCTTTACAGTAGACACAGGATCAGTTCTAGTGAAGATTTACTAGCGGCAAATGTTGTTTACTCACATTACTAAAAATAAACTCCAGTTGCACTGTGTGTACACGTGATAAAGAGGGATGGTCTGCCTTGCATGCTATCTTTCTAGTAAAGGCACAACATGTTTACCATGCTAAAAAGGTAACGTATTAGGAAGCTCTTAGGACCACTGAGTTGATTTTTTATTTTTAAATGACAAATGGGTTGGATCATGAAATTCTGTGAATGGAGTTCCACTCTTGCAGTGCTCCCTCTTATAGATACAGGGAGAGGCAATTTCCATTGAATGGCACTACAGTATATATATTTATATCTCCACTCATTAGTGCATATTCACTGGGTACTTTATAAACACTTTCAGTCCCTGAAAATCTCCTCTGGATAATTGGGGGATCCTTCAATCCTTCATGGAAGGTGGTATAGAAGCTTGAAGCAGAAAGGTGGGAAATTTGGCCAAAAATTAAAATAAATCACCTCCATCAGTGAGAGTCTCTGCTGGATCAAAGGCTCTCCAAGAATGGAAGATCAATTCTGGATCCAAAATTCTCTCTTCTATTCCACCTACAATTTTACATTAATTTTTAAAAAGAAAAAGGTGGGAAGAAGATTGTTACTTCATGTACAGAACTACTCATGTTCTCAGACTTTGCTTAAACAATATAACAAGGAACAGTAACTGTTCAAATTTGGGCGAATGATAAAAGTATAGTTTTATAAGCAGGCGAGACTGATGGTCCAATGGTCAATAAGGTGATTTCTGCAAGTGCTGTAGAGAGAAATGAGGGGCAGGTAGCCCGGCCTGATCAGATCTAGTGATCTTATAATAGAATTCCAAGAACTGATCTTATTAACACCTTGTGATACAACCCAAGATCTCAGTGGTAGAGCATCTGTCCTGGATGCAGGAAACACCAGGTCCAATCCCTGGTGTCTCTATGTAGGGATGGAAAAGGCTTGTGCCTGACACCTTGGAATGCCATTGCCAGTCAGAATAGACAATCTTGAGCTAGATGGACCATGGGTTAGATTCATTATAAGGCAACTTCCCTATGTTTCTAATAGATAAACAGAACACAATTCTTGCACAGAGAGCAACTATTGATTAAGTTTGGAACCTAAGGCTTGTATCCCATGTAGTGCTAGGTAGCTGCAGGGCCGTAGGAAAGGGGGGTGGGGGCCATCATGGAGATGGGTGACAAATTATCAAGGAACAATTACTGCCCTACTAGGGCGGTTCATAAAAAAAACTTTTCTTTTGAAAATGCCTGCTCCAAAGGTCTTATCTCACTACACTAGGGATTATATAGCTACATATGAAATTTCATGCATATCAGTTAATATCTTGACCCTCCTCCACGAAAATAGCTGTTTACTTGGCCTTTTTCCTATGTCATGAAGGCTGAAATTTCAACAAAGCACGTGCCTTTGCTAGACTCTCTTCGGGCACCTGCTAAGAGCATTCTTCTTTAGGCAAGCATGCCTAGATGCTTAGAAAGTTGAAGTAATTTTAATCTTAATATTTTAGCTTTTGTATGTTTTAAAGTAGGATTGTTAATTTTTTTATTTTATTGCTGTGGTTTTTTTGTTTTTTGTTTTGGTAAACCACATTGAAGGTTTTTAAATATAAATTTTATAAAATAAATAAACAATAAATATAAATCAAATAACACAAGCCAAAACACAATCCATCCTGTAGCTTTAAGTATCTGTCCATAGTTGCATACTTGTTATCAGAGGCTCAGAATCCACATTCCTTTGTAAGAAAATGTGAAATAACGTAAAACCATTTTTGCAGGCAAAAAAAATAATCAATGGGGGGGGGGCGTGACAAAAAAAAATTCCCCACCGGGTACCACCTGGCCTCTGGGTAGCTGTCATAGAATCATAGAATTGTAGAGTTGGAGTCATCCAGTCCAGCCCCCTGCATTGTCCCATTGGTGCAAGGATTTATTCCCCCTCTCTCTTCCCACACCTCCTGTGCATGCCGTGTGCCCTCCTCCCAAAATCTGCTCTGGAGCATTGGGAGGAAATCCCAGAACAGATTTAGGGGGCACGTAGGGGGAGGAGAAAAGGAAAAGCACCACTGCGCAAGTGGAAATCCTTGTGCTGACAGGATGGTTATGCAGCGCTATATTGGATACAAGCCTAACAGTTTCGAAACATTGGCAGTATTTAGATCCTTGGTGGAAGGCAAGCCAAAATGCCAAGGTGCTAATTGCTTGGCTTTTCATCTAACAGCTAAGCTGTAGTTGCCAGATATCTCAGCTTGAGAATAACAACCGCAAATACTGATGGGTTCAAACTTGTTCTATAGATTGGTTGTCAGTACATCATCTGTGACTTACCTGGCTAATGACCAAAGACAAGAATGTTCATTTCCTCATCTGTATACTTAAATAAGTTTTGTCATAGCACTCGCTCGGAAAAGTTAACAGTATATTTGACTCCACCTTGGTATGTGCTAAAAGAAACACACCTTTGGGGCAGAAAAGTATAGGTAGCTTTCTCTGAGTGAAAGTAATTTGATGGGAATCCCTTCCAATTAAGATAATGCATCACATATGACACACACAAAAACAAACCTGAAAAGGGTGGAACTAAATTTTACTCGGAATATTGAAATTAATGGGCTAAATCTGTGATGTTCATTCATTTCAGTGGGTTTGCTCTGAGTAAAACTTAGCTGAATACCACCCTGAAACAGGAAACGGTTTCCAGATGGTTTCCAATAATAGTTGCCAATAAAGTTGATCAAACTAATTGGTTTCAAATTGGTAGGCAAATTCCTGCCCCATTTATTTACACTGGTTAACCAATTACATTGGTTTCAATGTTAACCGAACCAAATAGCATGGTAACAATTGGGATTCTCGTCAATATTGTACTTAAAAACCTCCCCAGGAGCAAAATCCTCTCCTGGCACCTTACTTCACAGATGACGGTGATGCATTAGATATTTTCCTGCTGAATGAGAAACAGGTGGGTAAGAATTAAGAGTGTTAGCTCAGATTTGGCAGCCTCCTCCTCTTGCACAACTACTGTCTTATTGAAAAACTCTCAGAAATGCTCCCAAGTAAGTAAAAAAACAAAAAATCTACACAAAACTGTCATTTATTTTCTGCATGAGAGAAATATGAAAACTTAATTTCTGTATGCATGTTATGCACGTCTTATTCATAGTATGTTTAATTATTTGTCTGTATTCTCAGTGTCTCCTGGCAATTTTGAGTCATCTTGATCTCAAATTGGGTGAACAATCAACTGGATGTAAAAATCAATGTTAAGGGTAAAGCTTTCAACACATCCTGACTTGTAAAAGAAAGCTGCAGAAAATCTTTCCAAATATATTCTGTAGATCACTTTTAGCACAAGTGGTGGAGGGTTATGGGCTACATAATTCCTCACAGGGAAAGTACCACCTGGATAGGTGAATTGAAAATAGGCAATATTTCACATCAGCTGATGCTCTGTAGTTATTTCATTCATGTATTTTTCATGGCATCCAAACTATTGTGCTCAGATCTATTTTTCTAGAAAAAGAGGTGCCAGAACTCACCATGAACCCCTCCCTCATTCTTCTGAGAGGTGCCAGAACTGAGTTCCTGTGTGTTCTCCCTGAAAAAAAGGCCCTGATTACGTTCTGACACACAGCTTGGAAATTGCTGGCTCAGGATGCAACCCAATCCTGGCAAGGCTTAAAAGAGTGGTGGGGCCATTGCTGCATCCACAGCCCCACTGCGCATGGTGTCAAGGGTGAAAGGGAAGGCTGATTGCTGCACCAACCTGGAGATGACACAGTGAATGGACCCAGACAGGACCCTATGCTATCATGTGGCAGCAGTGGGGCTGGCCTGAGATCTTTTCCAGAGCTTTCTGTTGCCTTCTGTCAATGGGGAACCCACCAGCAGCACTTTCACCCACCTGTTTGGTGGGCAGAAGGGTGGATCTGCGCTAGAGATGGGACACTGGCATCACTCTGCAGACAGAAGCTGGCAGAGCTGGGCAGAGGAACCCTTTTGCCCAGTCCAATTCACACCCCAGCCTGGTCCAGAGAAAGTACGGATTTGAACTGACAAGCAATTCCTCCGGAGTGCTTATGCAGTGACCATCTATGGTTCACATTGTTTTCTCAGCTTGCATAATTCTGCTGGTGGGAGCTGACTAGGAATTTACAAAACAGAGAGGTTTGTCGTTTGTTCAGATGGCAACCCACCCCCCACCCCCAGCCATGCTTTGAGGTAAACAACAAGATACATTTTTTAAAAATGACTTGTTTTTTATTCAGCCGTTTTATTTTAATCTCCAGGAGCAGCTGCTGTAATTGTGGGACATCCTCTGGACACAGTAAAGGTAAATAGTGTTGTGGTTGTTCTGAAATCAGTTTAGTATACCTCGGGTTACAGACGCTTCAGGTTACAGACTCCGCTAACCTCAGGTTAAGAACTTTGCTTCAGGATGAGAACAGAAATCGTGCTCTGGCAGTGCAGCGGCAGTGGGAGGCCCCATTAGCTAAAGTGGTACCTCAGGTTAAGAACAGTTTCAGGTTAAGAATGGACCTCCAGAACAAATTAAGTTCTTAAGCAGAGGTACCACTGTATACAAAACAGAAAGAGATCATGTTACAGATAACATGGGTACTCTTTGTAGTGAGATACGTAGTAAGAATCTTGCACACCGTTCAGAGATTGAGGTGGTGTGCAACAGTGTGTGTGTGTGTGTGTGTGTGTGTGTGTGTGTGTGTGTAAAAGGACCCCTGGAAGGTTAATTCCAGTCAAAGGCAACTATGGGATGTGGCGTTCATCTTGCTTCAGGCTGAGAGAGCTGGCATTTGTCCACAGATGGCTTTCTGGGTCATGTGGAAAGCCTGGGGCAGCATTTCACAAATGCATGAAACACCCCCATAGTTGTGTTTAGGGTTGCCACCTTTTCACTGACCCTGCTCTTATGTCTTAACTTCAGAGAAGTCACAGAAATATCAGTGAAGTTTTCTCCATATTTTACCTGCTTATTTTTTCCCCCTGCTGTTAATTCACAGAAGCAGGACTAATTTAAAAATGGCAAATCCTAGCTATAATTGGCAGGAAGTTTAGTATCATACAGTAAAGAAGTAAGTTGCAGGTGTCTGTATGCTTTATGCCGGGGGAGGGGGGAGCCCATATTGCCTTTTTTGTCCTGTTTCTGCAATGTTCAGTTCGATTTATTGTGTTTAGCGAGCAGTCACTATACACATAAAATTAATAACAACAAGAATACTACTAATAATAGTGGTTTACATTTCTACTACCCGACCTCTACAGGATAAATCATTTCCCATTCCCCCTTTAAGTTTTGTTACACAAATCTGTAAAGTTCTAAAGGATAAATATATGTACCTCTCTACATCAGACAACAAAAAACAGATCTTTGCAAGAGATATCCTTCCCTTCTGTAATCTTAACAATGGGTGGGTGCAATTATTTCTAAGGGCATAATAAAAAGGGCAAAAAGGGTTTCTGCAATGTGAGTCAGAAATGAAGGTCCATGTTATAGGAAACTGGTAGCTGCTCCATTTGGGAGATTCTTCTAGAGATGGCCTACATTTGTGTGTTTGTTTCCGTGGCTTGAAAATATCCAGTGCTTATTTTTCTTAAAAAATGTTTAGGGGTACTCTCATTTTGACTCAAGAAAATCACCATTTCATAGTTCAAATTGGGAAAAATAAATACAGTAAATGGACAAAAGTACAAAGATTCACAAAATGTTTAGGGGCATGTGTACTCCTGCGTCCCCCCAGAAAAAAGCACTGAAAATATCTAAAGAGAAGCCACTGTGAGTGCAGAAAACACCACCAGAGTTCAGCTCCTGATTCAGCATGCCACTGTGAACATTATACCATGGATTTGCCATGTTGCAACCCAAGGAGTCCTTGGATGCACACGGATGACGCTGTAGGTTGCAAAGAAGCCCTGATTGTCCATGTGAGACTCGGCCCTGAGACTGGGAGTCTGCTCCAACCTTGGTTTACAGCCTTGTCCATTTTACGATGCAGAAGATGCTGCCTGTTGTCAGGGCCAGGATATTGAAGGAGACTGTTCCAGCGTGTAGCAAGTGCTGTCTTCCCATGAACAGGGTTGTGGCTGTGCATGCTTGGAGGGTTTGAAAGCGAGAGGCGTCAAAGTACAGTGCTTGGCTGAATGCTCTCTCCCCCCCCCCCCTTCCTGCCGTCGCTGTGCCAGAGCACTAATCGCATTTGTGTGTTTACAATTTGTTGTGCTGTCCATGAAGCAAGCATCGAAGGAATATGTGCCTTCCAGTTCTGGCAAATGGATTGTTTCATACTGTCGCTGCTGGTAGTGCGTGCCGCAAGCCGACAATAGGTCTTGTGGGAACATTTTTGCTACGTTTCCTACATTTGCTTGAGCACAGCCAAGAAACAAGCAACGCATCTTTCAAGGCTTAAAAGACAACTGTCAAGCTGGCACCTTCTTTGCCCTTGGATCTGGATGCAGCAGGGGAATAGCAACGAGGCAGCTTTGTTGCATTTCCAAATCAGTGGGGGGAAGGGAAAGGTCTTAAATGGTGAATGGAGAAGTGGAGTCATAGAGTAGTTCAGTATTTACTGATGAACATAGCAAAGGCGCATCCTGAAGAATAGGGGGGTGAGAATGGGGAGCCGTGAGGAATAGCTTGGTGCATTGAATGTGGATTATGTTCCAGTACATCAGGTCTCTTCAAACTAACAAGTAAGCCATGTAGGCCGTGCTCAGAGGGAGTACTTTGACAAAACTTTAAACCCCATGAGAGATCTGCCAGCCAGAGGGCTGATTTCAGTGAACAAGAAATTAATGTGATGGTCAGTGAATAAAAGGAATTTGGAAGGTAGCTTAAGCAAGCATGACCTGGATTTTAATGTAGCTAAACCAGATTGCTCTTATGGTTTGTGTCTGTGTATGGGTAAGTATGGGATTCAGCTTTCGCTTAAAGCCAGACAGAGACACTTAAGTGCAGCCCAGCACTCCAGTTTTTGATGAGTCCTTGAGTAACAAATCTGTTAAATGATATAGTATAATTAACCAAGCAAATAATAAAATAAAGAAGTGAAAAAGTAAAAGATTGTGCTAAATCCCACATGTGCTGTCTCCCTCTCTCTCCTCTTTTCCTTTTTGGTAAGACAGTAATTAACCTGGTATTCTATAAAGAATTTAAATGCTATTTTCCAGACTGATGTACAAGATTAATTCTCATAAATAATATAGGATCCTCCCCAATTTTTGTACTCTTTTTTGCCAAAATAAATAATTTTATCCTACAATGTAGCAGTATATAAATCTTTTATATTGTAAACTGTCCTGTGTTCCTCAGATGAAGGGCTCTATAGAAGTAGTAGTAATCATAGTAAATAATTCCTACATTCAAAATATGTTGACAATAGGGAGCTTTAGATATCACAGTGTGGTTAGAACTGCTTCTGGTAATGCATAGACTGGACAGAGAGCATGATTTGTTGCCCTGATTTTTCTTTGGAACAAAGCAAGAATTATAGTCAAATAAAAGTGGACATTGTTTGTAAAGCATGTGCTCTCGATTAACTGGAAACATATTTCTTTCTGTTTAATTTCATAATTGTGTTCTTCTGCAGACTCGCTTACAAGCTGGGCAAGGCTATGGAAACACATTTAAATGTGTTCTCACTGTCTACAGGAATGAAGCTGTAAGTATATAATTTTGTCAGAATACACCATGACAACTCTAGATTTGAAGAGGCCCTCAGCATAGCAGCCTCTGATCCTATTCTGCTAGTGTCTCCCCCACCCACCTGCTCACCGTGGCAGCCTTAGCTGCTGGTGGGTGTTAGTGGCAGGCAGCAGCGTTGGTGATCAGAGTGCCAAAAAAGGCTGCCGAGCAGTGTTTGGCCCAAGCAGGACATGCCAGGTGCTGAAACTGTCCTTGGAATATACAACACTAAATGGATCAATGGTCTAATTTCATGTAAGGCAACTGGCTCACAACTAACTAACCGACATGGCCCATTCTGTGGTGACTTGAGACAGGGCCTTCTTGGTGGCAGCACCCAGATCGGACAGTTCTTTCCCTGAGAAAGTGTGATAGTCCCACACACTGTCAAGCTTGAGATATCAGGTAAAAAGATTTTTGTTGGAGATATGCTCTTCATCCTGGGTCTTAACAGTGTTATAACTCTACTGCTGCATACCCTTCAACATTTCTCCAATGAAAAGAGGGACGTCCCATTCCTTAATGATAATTTAACTATTTATACCCCACACAACTTACTGGGTTGCCCCAGCCACTCTGGGCAGCTTCCAACATATATAAAAATGCAATTAAACATTAAACATTACAAAAAAGCTTCCCTATACAGGATTGCCTTCAGATGGCTCAGGGGTTGGAGAACTCCAAACCCTCCAACATTTCTCCAACAAAAATAGAGATATCCTAACATACCCTCCAACACTTCTCCAATGAAAATAGGGACATCCTAAGGAAAAGTGGGACATTCTGGGATCAAATCAGAAACCAGGCCTCTGTAAATCAAGGATGTCCCTGGAAAATAGGGACACTTGGAGGGTCTGCTGCTGTATGGTGTCATTATTTTAGTTGTGCTGTTCTTAAACATATTGAGTTACTGTGTACAATTGCTGCACTTGCTATTGTGTTGCTCAGTGTCAAGAGGAAGGGAGGTGTTGTTTTTTAAAGCCATCACTCTTGTCTTATCTGGGTAAAACTGTGATTTTAAAGCTTTCTGGAAGGAACAATCATACACATTCTTATTCACATCCTACTTTCTTTCATCTGCAGGTGGCTGGGTTCTTCAAGGGAATGTCTTTCCCCCTAGTTAGCATTGCTATCTACAACTCAGTGGTATTTGGTGTATTTAGCAATACCCAAAGGCTCATTAGCCAACAGCGCTATGGGAATTCAAACCATCCTCCATCACTTGCGGACTTGGCTTTAGCAAGCATGGCAGCAGGGGCTGTTTCAGTCGGAATTGGTGGTCCAGTTGATCTGGTAAAGATAAGGCTGCAGATGCAGACACAAACATTTATTGCAGGTAAAAGAAAATCCATTTTTTAATTTCTTTTTAATCTTCTGTGTTTGTTTCTAGCTTATACTTTATCCCACCATATAATGATATGTTGGTGGTGTTACAGCTAGATATGACCAACATATATGGCTCATTCTTGTATATAATATTTTTTTACTCTACCATGTTGTAATGGGTTTAGGGGTTGCTCGTGCGTAAGTTGCCGCCACTCCTGGCTAGGTTACCTGGTTAACCCTTTCTGACTGAACAGCCTCCAGCATCGTGACTGTCTCAGTCGCTGGCAGAATCCGTCAGTGGGCGTTTCTTAAACTTCTTCCAGCACAAAAGTTCCTTGACGCCAAGTCTCCTCCTACTCTCCCTGCGCGGAAGTCTTCTGCGCAGGGAGGGTGTGGGCAGTGGAGTACCCGTACTCTCTCCGCTGGTCTCTGGCGAGGAGTCTTGGAGCCTCCTCCCCGATTCCTCCATCTGCCCCCCTTCTCTACTGGTGTTACGCTGATTTCCTTCCCCAGCAGACGGGCTCCCTCTCTCCCTACTGGGACCCTCTCCGCCATCCCTTTGGAGCCTTCCCTCCGCTTCCAGCTCCGATGGCAGTTCCCTGACATCCATCTCCCCCCCAGGACCCCCCCCCCTCGGCCCGACCTTCTGATCCAACCTCATCCCTTTCCTCGGCCGATGATGTGGGGAAACCCCTGAAGGAGCTGTCGCCATCCTCTGAGGATTCAAAACCCGCTTCCCACCCGCTTCGAACTCTTGCCGTGGGGCGGGCCTCCCAGTCTGATTCTTCTCCCTCTGACATTTCCCCTCCTTCCTCTTCGGAGGCAGGAAAACCCACAAATTCCTCCTCGTCGTCTGTGGTTCCAAATTCTTCCTCCCAGAATCTCGCTAGTGGTTTTGGTTTGTCTGGGAACAGGCTGTGGAATTCTTCCACTAGATACCCATCATCGACTGCCTCAGCGGGGACCCAAGTGTTTTCTGACTCGGGTTCTCCTTCCCAAGCCACTAAGTACTCCACCTGGCGCCCTCGCCACCTTGAATCGAGTATTTCCGTGGCTTGGTTGTGGAGTTCCCTCTCCTCTACCCGCGGGTGGGCGGTGACTCCTCCCTCCCGCCCTGGGAATTCCCGCCCCTCCCTGTACGGCGAGAGTAGGGACCTATGGAACACCGGCTGTATCTTCATGTTGTCAGGCAACTTGAGCTTGAATGCCACAGGGTTCACCTGCTGTGTTACCTCAAAGGGTCCCAGCCGCCTGGGCTGCAACTTCTTGCACCCTCCCTTTAGGGGCAACCCTTGGGTTGACAACCACACTCGGTCTCCCACCCGTATGCCATCCACCTCCCGACGGTGCTTGTCTGCCTGCCTCTTATAAACTTCCTTGGCCCGCTCCAAATTCATCTTGAGTTGCTGGTGCAATGCCTCCATTTCTTCCACAAACTGTTCTGCCGCAGGTACACTCCACCCTTCCTCCACCCTCCCAGGGAAGGCCCTGGGGACCCATAATTGGCCATGAACGGGCTCATGCCCATGGACACATGTTCAGTGTTATTGTACGCAAATTCAGCCAGCGCAAGTTTCTCTACCCAATCGTTCTGCCTCTCGCTGACGTAGCAGCGTAGGTATTGCTGGAGTATACTGTTCGCTCTTTCTGCTTGCCCGTTGGTTTCCGGGTGTTGCGCCGTCGAGAAGCCCACCTCTACCTGCAGCAAGCTCATGAGCTTCCTCCAGAACCGGGAAGTAAATTGTTTCCCGCGATCTGAGATGACCCTCGAGGGCGACCCATGCAACCTGAAGATGTGATCCACAAACAACTTGGCTGTCTCCTCTGCTGTAACCGCATGTGAGCAAGCTATGAAATGGCACATCTTCATCAGTAGATCGACTACTACCATGACTGCTGTCTTCCCCCTGGACTTGGGCAAATCTGTCATAAAATCAATGGACACCACCTCCCAGGGTCTTCCCGGCGTGGGTAAGGGTTCCAGTAGCCCTGCGGGGCAGCCCTCTCCCCTTTGCCCTTTGGCAGCGGTCGCACCCCGTACATATTCCCGTACATCCTCCCTCACCCTTGGCCACCAGAACTGCCTGGTGACGAGCAGCATGGTTTTGTGCTGTCCAAAGTGCCCAGCTGTGGGGTTGTCGTGGAGTTGTTTGAGTACCTTCCCCCTCAGGGTCTCCCCCGGTACATACAGCGCCCCCTTATAGTACAGCACCCCTTCCTTTTCCTCAAACCCCCCTCTTCCGTCTCGGAGTTCCCTGATTTTAGTTTGAGCGAACACGTCGTTTCTAGTAAGCCCAGCCAGTTCTCGTTTCCCAACCAAGGCTCCCCCACACACCCATCGGTCCTCAGGGATCACGTGTCGTATCTCCGGTGGTCCCTCTCCTTCCATGTACTCCGGCTTCTGGGAGAGAGCATCTGCTCTTACGTTTTCCTCTCCCGGCACGTATCGGATCTCGAAGGAAAACTTAGAGAACTCCTGTGCCCATCGAATCTGTCTCTGGCTGAGTACTCGTGCGGTCCTCCAGTATTCCAAGTTCTTGTGATCAGTACAAACCTGGATCTTGTGCTGCGCCCCTATTAACAGATGTCTCCATCGGCGAAACGCCGCATAGATCGCAAGCAGTTCGCGGTCATACACCGTATAGTTTTGCTCCGACTTGCTCAGCTTCCTCGAGAAAAAGGCACACGGCTTCCATTCCTGCTTGCTCCTCCCTGGCTGCAAAAGTACCGCCCCAATGGCTCTGTCGGACGCGTCGGTCTCTAGCCTCATGGGTTTCTCCAGATCAACGTGTAGGAGCTGCTCTTCCGAAGCGAACGCCTTCTTCAGTCTTTCAAAGGATTGCTGGGCACTTTCTGTCCAGGCGAACTTCCTTTTGCTACTGAGACAATCTGTGATGGGCGCCGTTAAGTGGGCGAAGTTCTTGATGAACTTCCTGTAGAAGTTGCTGAACCCTAGGAACCTCTGCACATCCTTCCGGGTTTTGGGGGCTTTCCATTCCAGCACTGCCTGCACCTTGCTTGGGTCCATAGCCAGTCCCTTGTCTGACAACTTGTACCCCAGAAACTCGACCTCTCTGGTGTGAAATTGGCATTTTTCCAGCTTGACCCACAACTGGTGCTTCTGCAGCCTCTCTAGCACTTCCCTGACGTCTCTGACATGTTGCTTCTCATTGTCTGAATAGATTAAGACGTCGTCCAAGAAGGCTACGCAGTTCTTGTACAGCAGGGGCCCCAACACGTGGTGCATGAAAGCTTGAAAGCAGGCGGAGCCCGACTGTAATCCAAATGGCATGACCAAGTACTCAAAAGCCCCTAGGGGGGTGAACATGGTGGTCTTCCATTCGTCCCCCTCCCTTACCCTGATCAAATTGTATGCTCCCCTGAGGTCCAGCTTGGTGAAAATTTCCCCCTGCCTCACCCGTGTTAAAATGTCGTCAATCCTGGGCATTGGGAAGGTCACGAGTTCAGATACCAGGTTTAGGGCCCGGTAGTCCACGACCAGCCTGGGCTGATTAGTCCCTTTTTTGTCCACAAAGAACACCGGACTGCCCCCCACCGCCTTTGATTCTCTTATGAACCCCTCTTCAGGTTCTTGTCAATAAACTGCCGTAACTCCTGCATCTCCCTGTCCGACATGGCATACAGCTTACCCACCGGCAGCTGAGCCCCTGGGATTAAGTTGATTTGGCAGTCAAAGGGCCTATGGGGGTAGTCTGTCCGCCTCCTTCTCGCTGAAGACTTCCTTTAGGTCAGCGTATGGTGGTGGCACCTCTCCCTTTGTTTCCACCGCCAGCCCAGCCACCCTGGCCACTGTCCTTCTTGGGGTTCCCCCCCAGACAGTGTTCCAAACAGTAAGCTGACTCAAAGATGACTGACCACTGATGCCATGACACTACTGGATCATGCAGTGCCAGCCAGCTCATTCCCAGTATTATTGGGGGTCCTGCCAGTGTGGCCACGTGAAAGGCAATGGTCTCCGTGTGCCTGGAAACCCTCATTCGCATTGGCGGGGTCTGGTGTGTCACTTCCCTCCCAGAAGTTCCCTGCCATCGATGGTGGTCACTTGCAAGGGAAAATCCAGGGGTAGCAAGTGTATTTGGTGCTCCAAAGCGAAGTCCCTGCTAAAGAAATTGCAGGAGCTGCCCGAATCCAGCAGCCCCTCAACCTTGACTGGGTGCCCATTCGGGAGTTCTAGCACCACTGCTATGGCTATCGCTGCCCGGGGGGTCAGGCTGGGGCACTTCTATTGGTTGCTGGCCTGGCTGCTGGCCCCTTTGGTTGGCAGCCAGGCGCTGTCGTTTCCCTGCGCCTGCCCTTCGTCCCCCTTCTCCTCACAGCCAGCAGCCCCCACCATCCCTTGCCAGGCCTTTCTTTGAGGGCAGACCCTTGCAAAATGTCCCGGCCGTTGGCAGAGGAAACACTTCTTGGTGGTTTTCCAATCCTTCCCCTCCCTCTTGCGACCTTCACTGGAGTTTGAAACCTCGCGCGTGCTATCTATTTCCATTGGCTCAGCCGCCTGGGAAAGCTGTCTTGGTATTTCAGGAATGCGGTAGTCATGGCAACGTTCCCCTCTCACTTCGCGTTTCTCCTGAGCCCGCGCTTCCTGCCTCACTCCAATCGCAAGCACAGCCTTGGTCAGCTGATCCATCGACTGCGGGCGGGGCGCGCAGGACAGCTCGTCCTTCACCGTTGGGGACAACCCCTCCTCAAACAACATTTGAATAGGTTCAGAGTCCAGATCCCACCCGAGACGGTGGATCAACATTGCAAAGCGCGACCAGTAGTCTCTAACTGACTGGCTCCCCTGCTTGCACCCCATCAGTTCTCGCCGAGTCACACTTTGCTGGACTTCACTGGAATACATCGCATCCATCGCCTGAAAGAATTTCTTAAGGTCCTTCAAGGCATGATTTTGCGTCGCCATAAGGGGCCTAATCCATTCCCTTGCCCCATCCTCCAGATGTCCCACAACGTAGGCCACCCGTTGCTCATCGTTAGCAAAGTCATCATGCTGCAGTTCCAAAGCGTACTCTATTTCCGTTCGGAACGCATTGTAGTCCTGGGGTTTTCCCCAAAACTTGTGTACCAGCCCCGGTACCTTCCTTGCGATGGGGGTAGGTCTGACCTGAGCATCCTGAGCTCGTCTTTCGTCCAGCCGCGCCGTCAGGAGAGCTACATGCTGTTCCAAATCTCGGTTTCTCTCTACCAGACCTTGCACTGCAGCTGCTTGCTCCGTCTCTCCGGCTCCTCCGGTCTGGCTCATGGTGCTGCCTCCCTGGAGCTACGCACAAGCAACATCGGTGACTGACGGATTGCTGTAATGGGTTCCCTGACACATGTGTTCTCATATGTGTAGAATGAAGTATACCTAATACAACTCTCTTTTAGCATTTATGGACTAAAAAAGTTTAAAATGCTTCTAATTGCAGTTGGATAAATATTTAGCCGCATGAAGGTGCAAAGATTCTTCAGAGTCCTGACCTCAAATTACGTGATGGAAAACATACAGTGAATAGAAGCAATATTGTGAGGCTCATTCATCTGATATGAGTGGAGAATTTCTCTCGCTCTTTAATTTCCAAGCTTTGAGCTACAGAGAACTACACAAGCAAAAAACAGTATCTGCCACAGTATTGTTTTATTTCTTAAAGCAGAAAACAAATAGAAAACAACAGTTTTTTTTATAAGCTGTTAAGGCCGGAACATGAGTATGACAAAGAAAATCTGAATGTATTGTACAGCTCATTTTGAAAAGTGAGCTGTTGTTGAAATAAAAAGATTACCATCAAAGCTGCAGGCAATTTTCCTTCCTCCTCTTTTTGCCATTGCTGTCAGTTTTCTCCCAGTGTAATATTACAGAGGGATGTCATCAAAACTATTTGTCCTACAGGCAAACCGCATCCCGTTAGTCACATGTTTAAATTAGTGTGATTAGCACTTAATCTGACCAGTTGTATTTTAGAGAGCAGTTTCAGGGGCAAAAGGCAGACCAGGAAATGGTAATTGGCAGCAAATTTGGAATAGGACCAGAATGGGAGCAGGTTCCAGATTAAGGTTCTGCAGTGCAGATACTTTTTATTCAAAACAAGAGCATCTGGAAAACACTTTTGTTAAATATGAAAGGTAGTTTGGACCTTAAATTGCAATCCCAAGCACCAGAGCCAGCACTGGGTTTGTAGGTAAGATCCCCCCCCCCACCTTCCCAGAACCACCTGGGAAGAATCATAGAGTTGGAAGGGACCCTGAGGATAATCTAGTCCAACCCCCAGCAATGCAGGAATTGCAGCTAAATAATCCATGACATGTGGCCAGCCAACCTCTGCTTTAAAACTTCCATAGCAGCTTTTAGTTAGACAGAGATTTTCAAAACGAAAGAAGGAACATAAAGGAAACAGACATGGAAAGCGATGTTCTCAAGAATACTAGGTAACTTGACTTATGTTTTTCCTTGCTCCAGCAGCCAACCTAAACCTGAAGCACAGAGCGGCTGGCTTTTCAGTAGAGACTGCTTACAGAGGTCCAGTTCACTGTGTTGGCATGATCCTTCGGCAGGAGGGTTTAGGGGGATTGTACCGTGGTTCTTCTGCCATGATTCTGAGGGATATTCCAGGATATTGCTTATACTTCATCCCTTACACGTTACTTTGTGGATGGATCACTCCAGATGGATGCCTTTCTCCGAGTCCCTTTTCTGTGTGGATGGCCGGTGGCATTGCAGGTATGTCCATTTCTGTTCTCCTTCACCAGAAATGATGCTGTCTAGAGGCTTGATTAAATTTGAGCTCATTTATTCACTCCTAACATGCTTTTTTTCTGTAGTGATGGCAGTGTTAGTGGTAGCCCTAGAAGTGTTTTAAATTGAAGACATATTGCGTTTATTTATCACATAAGTTGCTCCTAGGATTGCCATCAGTATTTTGAAAAACTTTAATGTGCTTATCTATTATATGAACATGCACGCTGTGCAGGGAGAGGCCCAGAAAAATCTGTTATTACTGTGCAATGCACTGATCAGTGTGCATAATTTAGCAGCCATGTGCTGTGGCTGATGTTGCACAAGGCAATGAGGTGCCTGGCTGGCTGCCTCCTTCCACTTGGTGGCACATGCCTTTTGAGCAGTAGAGTCACAGTGGAACGGAAGAGAAAAGGTGACAAAACAGGGCACACAGTCAGAAGAAGCTGACATCTGACTGACACCTTGAGTCCACCAGCCAAGCCAAGCTCATCTCCCCTTAAGGATGAGCTAGCTCAGTCTCACTCATCTGCTTGGTGCCTGCCTAAGTCCAATAATTTAGTTTTAATTATTTAATTGGATTTCTATACTGCTTAATCAGCCACAGCTCAAAGTGGTTTACATGGTTACTTCGAAAACCTCCTTCTAACAACAAAGGGACACGGCAAAGGAATGGTCTCCACAATATACAAACCACTGCTCCAAAACCCCACAGACCCCCTTGATGTAATTAAAAAACAATTGGAGGACAACACAGACTATGAGATTAACCCCACCCAATGGACTAGAATGTGGTCCAAACCTCCCTTTAAATCCATATCAGCGATAAGGAAAGGACTCACCCTGAAACTCACTTACAGATGGTACCTAACACCATGGAAACTGATGCTAATACGCCCAGGAACCTCACCAAAATGCTGGAGAGGGTACACCTTCACAGGAACATACCTCCACATGTGGTGGAAACCTGGACATCAATCATACAAGAAATATGTGAAATAACTAAGCAAGTATTAGAAGTCACCCCAGAACTGGCCCTACTAAACATCTTCCAAGATAATAATGCCCACTCACATCATAAAGAGCTCATAACCCACTTACTCTCAGCAGCCAGAAACATCATGGCCAGACACTGGAGAGACCTGTCAGGAGTAAACATGGACCATTGGTATCAAATAGTATGGGAAACATCCTTATCAGAAAAGCTAACCAATACCCCGAAACTGACATGGGGACAAATAGAAGAAGACGCCTTCACCCCGGTTTGTTTCCCCTTTATCACATACACAGCCCAACAAGACAACAAGAATCCCCTGACAGCATACGAATCAATCTGGATAACCTTATTAAAAAATACACACTCACACCCCACTCACATACAAAAACAATTCTCACTACTGCAACCAAAGACAACCAGCCACACCCTTAGCCACACCCAACCTCTCTCACCACCAAGGAAATACAACAAGTAGATAGTAAGAGAACCCATACAAGTAACGCTGACACAACCCCTCACTCACACTAAGTAGAATAATAGAAGCATAACCATCCAACCCGACCCCACCCCACTCACCTCTCCCACTCCCACTCCCCCACTTCCCCCATTAATTTTTTTCTTCTTTTTCCTAATTGTTTAAACCAATTCATAAACCAAGAATTTATACATTGATCACGAATAGTGAAACATATGTTCTAGATACGTATTTTCCCACATTTATTGTGCTGTTTTTGTGATATACAAATGACATGAGAAAACTTGGTATGCTTATTTGTATATTATTATTCTTGTTTATAAAACCCAATTAAAAAGTGGTTTACATGGACTATAGTGGGAGGAATTCAACATTTCGCTCTTCTCAACATTCTGCCAGTGCAAGCGTTTCTGCTTGCCAGAAGAAACAATCCTCCTCTCCTCTCCACCATGAGATATGGGGGGGGGGGTTTCCTCCTGATCAGCCAGAGTGGATTTGGGGGGAAGCTTGAGCTTTGAGGGAAAATCCCAGAACAGCAGAGAGCAAGGATTGTTCCATCTGGCAAGCTGGCATTGAATTCCTCCCTATGCATTTTTATGAGCATGGATCTTTCATTGTAAACCACCCTGATAATTTCTGTAGAAGGATGGAGCATCATTTTACTTATAAAATATAGTTTACTCCACTGTTGGCTCTCTGTTACTGAAGAGCAGAAGCCCAGCTGAAGTAAGTAAGTTAAGTGACAATTCCAGCACATTAACACCATCTCACTTGAAGACAAAGTAGCTGCCAGTTAACAAGAAGAGGACCTCTAGTACCAGGCATAGGCAAACTCCGGCCCTCCAGATGTTTGAGACTGCAATTCCCATCATCCCTGAACACTGGTCCTGTTAGCTAGGGATGATGGGAATTGTAGTCCCAAACATCTGGAGTTTTCGTATGTCTGCTCTAGTATTTCACAACACTGACACCATCTCAAGTCACTGTCCTGTAAAAACACATTTAGCCCAATGTGAAAAGCCCCAGATTTAACTATAGCAAGCAATCCATATTTATGAAACTGTAGTGCATTAACATTTCACAACAAATACCACATTCAAAACTCTGCAGTTCTTAAATGTCACCTCTTTTTAGTACTGAATAGAGAAACACTTAGGAGAAGGGGGAGGGGGAAATAAGTCATTGAATAAAATAGGTCAAAATCTACTTACGGAAGTCTCACTTCCCTGCTGTAGCAAGAAACGTTGACAAGCTTGTCTGAAGCAGATGAGGTAATTTTAAATGGCAAGCTAGGGCCACTTCATAAGTGGATATATTTGTTATTAAGTAAAAGTACACCCGTCTGCCATTCAACAAACAATGAGCATGTTGTATTTAGACAAGCAAGCCAAGTACCATTAGCTACCAATCTAACTTTATTTTAACCAGGTAGCAAAATTCACATTATTTTAAGTTACATTTCATATTCTAGCATATTTTTTATAGCTTGACTCCTAAAGACGACTACCATTCTCTTTGATGAAGGTGCTCAGAAGACCTTTTGTATTCATATATAATACTTTCCCTTTTTCTCGTAGGAGCAATATCTTGGGGAACAGCCACTCCTATGGATGTTGTCAAGAGTCGCCTTCAAGCTGACGGGGTTTATTTGAACAAATACAGAGGAGTCATTGACTGTATCTCCCAAAGTTACCACAGTGAAGGTCTAAAAGTAAGCACTATCAAAATACCAAATATTAGGAAATAGGTTTTGGCAACAAGTTGCATGTGGGTCTATTGTCCCCATGGCAGCCCTTATTTACAACTTAACTAGCACAGTTATGCATAATGAAGAAATGGAATTCAAGTCCAAATGGCCTTGAATAGCCGTGATAACCATCCTCTGCCTCCAGTAAATGGGGCCTACCCACTTTTTTATTTTCAGGGCCCACTTTATTTCTATGATTGTAAACTGTTTTTAACATGGTGTTTTATTTGTTGTAACTCACTCTAGGACCTTAGGGTGGGGGGTAGGTAATTAATAATATTACTTGCCAAGCTGTGGTGGCAGACTGCACATCCCCCATTTCCATGGACCATAATTTTTACAGACATTCCTTTCCCAAGTCAAAAATGTTGCCTCATGTCATTTGAAAATCATGCAAACTAAAAAATTATGGCTTGAAGTTTTCCCCATTAACCATTGTTGATCATGGAGCTGTTTATAACTGATAAGAAACCACTAAACAAGGCTAGCTAGTTGTTCTGGTAAATATGAATTATCCTCATTTTGCGATGTGGGAAGCAGGCACGTGGAATGTCAGTACCAATAAATCAGCACTTGCTTATAGATGATTAAATCATGCTATCACTTACCTCAATCATCATCATCCCGTTTATCTCAGCTCATCAGCCTTAGGATGCCGCCATGAATATTCCCACTGCCAATTTATATTGCCTGCAGCCACCCACAGCTGTATAAACAGATATAATCAGTGGAAAAAACATCACCCCAGACAACTCCTTGTTGTCTATACGGCATCCCAATTGTGGAAACTTCTCCTTCTGAAGTTTGTCTAGCACCTAATTTATTTATTTTCCAGTGCCAGGTGAAGACAGTTCCCTTTCCCCAGTCTTTTGGATAGGCCTTCTGAATATCTGAGACCCATATGACCGATGGGGGTGCTGATATGTTTTTAAATGTAATTTTCATACTGCGTCTTATACTGTTGTGACTTTCCCAGTGATCGATTATGATGAGGGGTGGAATATTGATTTATTTAACTTAATAAATAATAATTTATATTTATACCCCGCCCATCTGGCAGGGTTTCCCCAGCCACTCTGGGCAGCTTCCAGCAAAATATTAAAATACAATAATTCATCAAATATTAAAAGCTTCCCTAAAGTAACCTGGGCAAAACACTGCTCACTGACCAGTCCCTGTATCCATTTCAAATATATATATTTAAAAATCCTCTTTAAAAAAAAAAAAAAAATCACTTAAGGGGGGAAAACCACCTTGTTCAAATTAATTTTGGCTCTATGCCTAGAAACATAAAAGCACAAAAGAGAAAACCATCAACGAGGAGAACAGACATGGGAGGAAAGATTCTCCTGAAATCCATTGTCATGGACTGGCTGGATGCAGAAGATTTGTGGAAGGCACCAGCCAGGGAACCCCCAACAGAACCACATGGGGAGGAAGGCTCAGAGACAGGGGATTGGTGGTGGAACAGCAATGAGTGGTCAGAGGAAGAAGGAGCAATCTGGGAGGAGGAGGTGTCAGCAGCAGGAGAAGTGACAGGGTTTAGTGAGAAGGAAGAGTCTGAGATGGATTGCAGTTCAGACTCTGAGGCTGCAGAGGAGGGGGGTCATTTACAGTGCTGGATTTATGTATAAACTAAACAAGGTATAACTTAGGGCCCCACTCTTTTGGGGGCCCCAATTTTTTTTAAAGAAAAAGAAAACTGGATCTACATTGCCAAAATATAAGATAAAAAACAAATAAAATAAAACATACATACATACAGCAACAGTGTTTTCTGTTGTGTATGGACCTATGGGGATGTGGGTGGCGCTGTGGGTTAAACCACAGAGCCTAGGACTTGCTGATCAGAAGGTTGGCGATTCGAATCCCCGTGACGGGATGAGCTCCCATTGCTCGGTCCCTGCTCCTGCCAACCTAGCAGTTCGAAAGCACGTCAAAGTGCAAGTAGATAAATAGGTACCGCTCCAGTGAGAAGGTAAACGGCGTTTCTGTGAGCTGCTCTGGTTCGCCAGAAGTGGCTTAGTCATGCTGGCCACATGACCTGGAAGCTGTACGCCGGCTCCCACGGCCAATAAAGCGAAATGAGCACCGCAACCGCAGAGTCGGTCACGACTGGACCTAACAGTCAGGGGCCCCTTTACCTTTACCTTTACGGACCTATTAGGTCCATAAATTACCATATAGCATATATTCAACACAAAAAACAGTGACAATTTGTCATTGACAAAGGACAGCTGTAAATATAAAGGGCCCCATTACCTTCAGGAGCTTAGGGCCTCATCAAACCTAAATCCAGCCCTGGTCATTTATCAGTTATCACAATCCTTTTAGAACATTAATGAGAAAACCAGAGTCTCCTGATGTCTAATTCCCATTCGTTAGGCCCTATTCCAATTATGTTCTGTCCAAAATACAAATTGATAAGCTCTTTTGCTGTAAACTTTCCTTCTTTGTTTTGAACAGGTCTTTTTCAGGGGCCTTACAGTGAATGCAGTGCGAGGATTCCCAATGAGTGCTGCCATGTTTCTTGGATATGAACTTTCACTCAAAGCTCTAAGAGAACAAGCAGAAGCAAATCCTTGAATTCCAGGTCAGCTGCATGGTAACGTTTTGAGATTTCATGCCTTTTCTGTCTATACAGCTAGGGAATTATTGCAACACCAAGGTAGACAGTGATGCTGCATATATTTATTTGAAGGCAATTTCCACTTAAACCAGTTAAAAATACTTTCACATAATTGTTAAAATCCAGCACAGACTTGAATGCTCTCCAGCACATTAAATCAATGTAAAACCAATTAAAGTTGTATTCCTGCATGGTCTGCCTTGAGAATGAGTCTCATTCAACTCATTGAAGTTTACTTCTAGGCATGTGTGCATAAGATTAGACTTTAAATGAACCAGATCGTCTAGGAATGGAGGAGAAATTCAATTTAGTACTTATGTAAAGTCAAATCTACCAAATATGTACTTTTTGAAGCAATATATGAACCAAGACACACATTTGCACTGCTCTGAATTTTGTGATGCAGTTCTTCACCCAAACAATATTTACAGCAATGCATATATTAGGGGAAAATATGCATAACATGAAAATATTAGTGAAAATTACATCCAAAAATGCATAACAGTAGGGGTAATTGCTTACAAAAAATGGTACATTGGTCAAAACTGCATATAAAAATATTTTAGTTAGGAGAAATTTGCATGAAAATTGACTTTTCGTGAGGATTTCTTTTTTAAAAATCTCAAATTGCTGCAAAATGTGGAGAACGTAATTTAAGATTTGAAAATGAGATATGGAGAGAACTAAAACTGACAGATCCTTCGACCCCTTAACCTTTGTGTCGGATTGTTGCCACTAAGTCCACCATTCCCTCATTTTCAGACAGAAGCACCATTCTTTATATAGCTAAAACTGCATTGTGCACACACAAGAGGGCGGTATCAGCTGGCTTGAGAGAATCCCAATGTTTGCAGAAGTAAAAATAAATAAAAATTAAAAAATAGCGGAGGAAGCAAAACCCAAATAGCCTTTGGGAACATAAGCTGCCATACAGTGTCAGAACACTGGTCTTACCTACCTATCGTCTACACTGACTGGTGGCACCTGTCCAGAGTTCCAGATGGGTCTCACCCAGCCTGACACAGCATAGTTCTGGTCATGGGAGTAGCTTACTCAGAACGGGCCCATCCAGTAGATCTGTTGCAGGAATATTGACCATGTTTCTGGAAGTTGGTTTTGGCTTTTCCAAGAAACTAGTTTAAGCTTTATAAGCTCTTAAACATTCACAACCAGTTCAACCAGAGATGATGCAGGAATTCCAAATTAATGTGTGTACCACAGGCACCAGCTACAGTACAATATCAATGTCTCCAAAATGTTGCTGTATGTAGCCAGCTTGTGGGATTGCTTTTCTGATGACTGTTTCTTTTGATCCTAAGGGAACTTCTGTACTTGACCATTGCTTTCACTTCCTAAACCAAATCAACTGCACGGCCTTGATCAGAAACTTGATTTTACCAACATGGAATATGAAGTGAAGAAATTTCATCAGAGAATGTTCTGTTCACGATGAGTGATTTTTGATATGGTACATGGACTGAAGAGTTTCGAGGATGGATCAGCTGAATTCTCATTCAAATCCCCTCTCTTCTAAATGTTTTGTTCTAAAGACAAAAGCAATTTTAACATGCACATGGTTGTCTGGCAATGATAAAAACATTTATTGGTGAAGTAAGAGTGCAACATGTTCTGCTGGGAAACGACCACAGATGTCACTTTCTAGAACCATCAGTAGTTAATTGTGGTCCTTGAAGAATCAAAGAAAATATATTCCCGTGTACTCAAACTGTCTTCCCGTTTGTTGCCATGTGACTAGATACTTTATCCATTGTAAGACAAGAAAGAATGTAATAACCTCATGAAGAGTTTAAGCATTTATGTAGCAAATTTACACTTTTGATTCTTTTCCCCCATCCCAAATGTGATAAATGTGATAAATGTGATAAAATGTGATAAAATGTGATATTGCAAAACATGGCGGCGCGTGTAGATGCTGCGGCTGGTTGCTCCTCAACTCAGAATTTGGCTTTTTTGTCCTGCCAAAATAGACTTGTTTATAGTCAGCAGGACATGTTATCTATTCGGCTACGGAGTGAGTGCTGCACAAATTGTGAGTGTCTCCGTGTCTGCAAGGAAGATTTTTTGACTTCAAAGAACTGGGGAGTAAAGAGACACAGGAGAGACCGTAAACAGAAGAGAGGCTGCAGAGGAGGAAGGCGATTAAGGCAATTAAGGTTGAAGACACAACATTATAACTTACCGCTTCCCAGCATTTTCTATGCGAATGTGAGATCTTTGGTGAATAAGCTGGAGGAGTGGAAATTGTGGATAGCAACGGAGAAAACTGTGAGTGAATGCTGTCTTCTGCTGCTTACAGAAACTTGGCTGACACCAATTATTCCTGACTCAGCCATAGAGCTAACAGGCTATACAGTGTTCCGCCATGATAGAACAGAGGACTCTGGTAAAAGAAGGGGGGGAGGTTTGTGTGCATACGTGAATAACAGCTGGTGCACAAACCACGCTGTGATAGCTAGCTATTGCTCCCCAACTGTGGAATTTATGACGCTTAAATGCAGACCTATATATATCCCCCGAGAATTTACAGCAGTACTGATAACTATAGTATACATTGCACCTGATGCGAACATCAGTGAGGCAATGGGTCTTCTGCATGATGCCATTAGCAGGCAACAAGGCAAGTACCCCAAGGCTGCATTTCTTGTATGCGGGGATTTCAACCAGGCAGATTTGAAAGTGGTCCTACCTAAATTCTATCAACACATAAAGTGTGCAACCAGGGGAGAAAAGACTCTGGACAGGCTGTATACAAATGTCAAACAGGCCTATAAGGCCGAACCATTGGCACATCTAGGCCAATCTGATCATGTGTCCCTGCTCCTGACTCCTGAATATATTCCACTGAGGAAACGGACTCCAGCTATAAAGAGGGACATTACAATATGGCCAGCTGAAGCATCCCAACAACTACAAGACTGTTTTCATGACACCGATTGGGAGGTATTCGCCCAACAGGATGTAGAGACTCATATTGAGCAAGTGTTGGACTATATTAGGTTCTGCACTGACAATGTAACACGGAGGCGCCGGATAAAGATCTACCCAAACAGGAAGCCCTGGATGACAAGGGAGGTCCAGGGGTTGCTAAAGGCAAGAAATACTGCTTTCAGAAGTGGAAATAAGTCGCTGTACAGCTTAGCTAGAGCCGATCTACAGAGAGATATCCGTGTAGCAAAGGAGGCGTATAGACAGCGGCTGGAGAATCATCTACAAAGTAACAACACCAGGCAGGTGTGGCAAGGTGTACAAGAATTAACAGGGTATAAATCCAAGGACTCCCTGGCAGACGAGGGAGGGGCATCCCTCGCAGAGGATTTGAATGCCTTTTTTGCCCATTTTGAAGTAACATCTGTAGCAACACCTGCTGAGGCTTTACCAACACCACCACCACTCCCTGTGAAGGCTTTGCCATCATCACCACCATTACCATCATCAGTACAAAGGAATGTAGTAGTCTCTGTGGAAAAAGAAGAGATGAGGAAGGTGTTGAAGGGAATCAACCCAAGGAAGGCCACAGGGCCAGATGGGGTAGCTGGAAGGGTATTGAGAGACTGTGCAGATCAACTAGCAGGAGTTTTCACTGGGATTTTAAATCGATCCCTAGCCCAGGCTATTGTTCCATCCTGCCTAAAGTCCTCTATTATCATTCCAATAGCAAAAAAAATCTAACCCGGAAGATCTGAATGATTTTCGTCCAGTAGCACTCACACCTATAATCATGAAGTGCTTTGAAAAGCTGGTACGAAATTATGTCATTGCCTGCCTACCAGAGGGACTGGACACATTCCAATTTGCTTATAAAACGAAAAGATCGACAGAGGACGCTGTTGCGATTGCCCTCCATGCTGTCCTTGCACATTTGGAGCAGCGGGGGGGTTATGCCAGACTGCTTTTTTTAGATTTCAGCTCGGCATTTAATACTATTCTACCACAACGTCTGATGTCTAAACTGGAAGATCTGGGGCTTCCGTTATCACTTTGTGGGTGGATATTAGACTTTTTGTCAGACCACCCCCAGAAGGTTCGGTTGGGCCCTTATACCTCTAATATGCTTAAGACTAACACAGGAACACCACAGGGATGCGTACTCAGTCCGCTCCTTTATATTCTCTACACGTACGATTGTGTCGCTACTCACCCTAGTAATAGGGTTGTCAAATTTGCAGATGACACAACCGTGATTGGGCTCATCCCTGAAAGGGAGGGTGAAACAGATTATAGAGATGAGGTGGAGCGGCTGACAGAGTGGTGCAGAGCTAACAACTTGCTCATAAATACAAGGAAGACAAAGGAGCTTGTGGTGGACTTCAGGAGACAGAAGAGCAATGTCCAGCCACTTTTGATTTATGGGGTCTGTGTGGAGAGGGTAACAACGTTCAGATTCTTGGGCATTGAATTACAAGAGGATCTGTCCTGGAGTGTCAACACAAGGGGGCTTGTGAAGAAGGCGCAGCAGAGACTGTACTTTTTGAGAATACTAAGGAAAAACCATCTTCCGCAGAAACTGCTGCTTGCCTTCTATCACTGTGCCATTGAGAGCGTGCTTACTTATGGCTTATGTGTGTGGTACGGAAGCTGTACTACCCAGGACAGGATGGGGTTGTGCAGGGTTGTTAAGGCAGCAGAGAGCATTGTTGGCTGCCCACTCTCCACCTTAGAGCAGATTTATGCCACAAGGTGCCATAGGAAGGCACTGGACATAGTAAAAGATCCATCGCATCCTGGTCACTGTCTCTTCGAGCTCTTGCCGTCGGGACGGAGATACAGGACGATGAAGACAAGAACGAGCCGTCTTAAGAACAGCTTCTTCTCCAGAGCGATCTCGGCCCTGAATGGGAAGCCCGGACTTTGAAAGTCATCTAATCTCCCTTGCTGTATTATACTGTATTGTTTAATTAGTGTTTTTATGGAGCAGTCAAGTAATTTCGTTGTCCCCGAAGGGGGCAATGACAATAAAGATATTATTATTATTATTATTATAAAAAAATTATTTGCACTGTCCCATGATGTTGCGCTCTCTGACATTTTATCTTATGGAGCATGGTTCGTTGCACCAAATGAGAATCCAAATGTAAGATCAGGTAAATCAAGTGGAATCACTGTATATCTGCCATCCATTCAGCACTGCTGTGGGTATCTGACTCCTAGTTGGCTCCTGTTAGTAAATGGGTAGCAGAGGAGTAGTGCATGCAGAATAAGGCTAGGCTGCTGTTTTCAGAATTTCCCCTAGTTAGCCCTTCTTAGCTAAGTAAAAACCAGTTTCTCGATTAGCAGACCTCAGTCTCAGACATTATTTCTCAATTCAGGATATAATAAATGAATGCATCAGTTTAGTTGTGACAGGTATCTGATGAGAAAAGATAGGAGAGGATAAAGGTTATGGGTGCATCTCAGAGACTAGAGAATTTGAACAAACAGGAAGGGATGGTAAAGGAGTAGAAGAAATAAAACCTGCATGATCCTTTTGCTTTACCAAAATAGCTAAAGAACACAGTCTGTAGACAAATCGGGCAACACAGTGCTTTTCTTTAACAATTGGAATGTTATCTGCTGCTGCAACTAGATGACCAGGGAAAATACTTTGGATAAAATATCACTCTGAAATAAAAATTACTTTACTATTAGCACTGCAACACAGCTCCACGGAACCCCAAATATACTGTAAATTGTGATCTCTGTTTACATGATGGAAGTAACTCCCTGTTGACGTAGTTGGAAGCTTCAGCAGTCTTTGTTATGGTGGAACACACTATTCTCTTGGACCATTTATCTGTCAAGAATGGCAGTACAGTATCTCTGTTCTTTTTGCCCAGTAGGACCCAGAGGATGCTTATTGTGGATTATTAACACTGTCACCATGTAACTTAGTATGAACATACTGGTTAAGAACATCTAATCTGGGACTCACATAACCTGATGGATCCTGTCTTCCTACATCATCCCATGCTACACTTGTGGTTGGGAAATCTAGCATGGATCTTTATGCTATCAGTGCACCAGATTAGGACAGTGATACCTAAGAACAGGGCACTTACCACTGCTCCCCCTAGCCTACCCCATTGATCCACTTTCCTACTTTGGTGAGGAGGACTTTGCTTGACTGGTTTTGCCAAAGGAATAGTTTCTTTATAATTTTAGTGAGCTCTTAAATTATATTTTAACAGACCTGGGGTGGTTAATTTTAGTGGGACGCATTTCGTGTTTTATGTGAACTGCTTTGTACATTTAGGAACCAGACTTTAAAGTGTTTTAATTAAAAAGGAGTTGTATCCAATATGAATCATACTAAGACCAGACCCACTGAAATTAATGGGCAAGATAAACTTAGGTTCATTCATTTCAATGACTCAAGAGTATAATTTAGCTTGATACAACTCAAGGAATGAAGCCGAATGTTGGAAGGCTCGGGACATACAAAATTACTGTAACTACGCATTGTGTGAAGAAGTAGTTTAACTTATGGTATTTTTAATTTAAATGGAGATTAGACAAATTCATAATATCAATTGTTACTCGACATAAGTATATCAGTATAATATCAGTATAATATCAGAAGCAGCAAATCCCTGAATGCCAGATGCTGGGAAGCACGCAACACTCACATCATGCTCGTGGGCTTCCCATAAGCATCTGGTTGGACACTGTGAGAACACGAAACTGAATTAGTTGTGCCTTTGAGCTTATTCAGCTGGACTCTTCTGATATTCCTCTTCTGAATTTCTAGATGACAGGTACTTAGAGTCATTAGGGACAGGTTCATATCTCAGGAACCCAGGAAACTGCCTTACAACAATATTGAACATGGAACCATCTGCATGGGTTCCACCAATGAGCTGCAGCCCTCCCCTCTTCCTTTTCATTTTCCCCCAAGCCCACTTTAAAACCACCCATCAGCATTCTTGTTAATGTTAGATAAGACAGACAACCCTTGTGCATAGATGGCAAATAGGTTTCTGTAGAATTCAGGCAAATGTCTTTCTCCCACCCTGTCATGAGATTCCAGGGGAGTTGGGACCCTGCACATACAAGCATTGCAAGCCAGAGATTTCTTTTTATTGACTTCAAAGTTATTCTAAGGTCTGATGTTCTCCAAGACGGGCCTGTCAATTTTTCAAAGAAAAAAGTGTAAACATTAATCCAAAACTGGAAGCGGTGTTGGTTCACTGAAGATGCAATCGTTAACTGTTCTTCTATAAGCTTACATATCAACTGATGGTCAGTGCCAGTGTAAACTGAATTTCAGAATACAGCACTTCCAAAAGGGAAATCTTTAACTCTTCGTATGTTTATTTTTATCCATCATTTGGAGAAGGAAGAAAATAGGAGAACAAATGACATTTGCAAGGGGTTTCAATTTCTCTTGTAGCTTGTATATATGCACAGAGGGAATTCATATTGTCTGGAACATGAAACATGGTATATCCTCAAGTTGTCCATTACAAATCATTGATATAATGGCTGTTTTAGGAATGATGTGTGACGGGAAGAGGGAGGCTATTTTAGTGATCCTTGGAAGTCAAATATCTGTCAGGTGCCATGTGGCATATATGCACACTTATATGCCTGGGATATATCCCAAAATATGCCAGGGAACTACTTTTTGTAATAACAAAAATGTAAAAAACAAACAAAAAGCCAGTACTATTATATTGTAACATTACAGGTTTTTACCATTATAGAAATTAGCTCCCTGTGTGAATTCTTTTGCCTCTAGCTTAGCAGTTGGATTTTTGCTCCAACTTGAGCCATGCTGGACTTTCACACATGACATTCTTGTGGATTTTACTAATTTCCTTGAAGAAATCACTTGCAAAATTTGCAGAATTATGTTCTAGAGAACTTGGTTCAGATGGGTAGGTTTGTATCTCAGTTGTAGGAACATAATAGGGTTGTCAGCTTTCCTTTGCTTAGGCCGCAATGCAGACCTCCCGCCACTGCTGCATCTCCTGCGCTGCCGCACATGGCCGGGGCAGAAGGTGAGCATTGGGAAGATCGCTGAAGCAGCCTGAAGTTGATGCAGTGGCCAGGCCACCATACAGCTACAGTGTGACCACCTTGGGATCTAATGAGCTGGCTGGCTCAGCCTTTTGCCCTCCCTGCCTCATGAATGCCCCACTTCAGAGCCTTCCAAGAGCAGGCTGCAAACCAATAACACTCTCACCCCGCCACAAATTTAGTGATGCCCTCACTGATGGTGTGATGCTTGCAGCACTCTGTGGGTGGTGGGAGGCCAATATAGCTAGGAGAGCTGGCCAGAGGGTCACCTCCGTCCAAACCCACACCTACCAAGTGCAAGGTGGGGGTTAGATTGCTCTGTTACTCAGAGTACTGCAGGCATTCGTGAAGATAGACCTACCCTAGCTTTTAAATTATTTCAAGTTGATTTTTACTGTGGTGAGTTCCCGAAGACAAGAATATAAGATATATCCTCCTTATCCTCATGCGTTTTGTGCTAGTCCTACTCAGAGTAGATCCATTGAAGTTAATAGATAAATTAACTTCTGTGTATTAATTTCAGTGGGTTTATTCTGAGTAGAATCTTGGAGCACAAGGCTGCTATCAGGAGAATTTCAGTACTTATATCAATATGTTGTTTTACAATTCTTACAAACAATTGCTAGTCACATCTACTAAGCCGAATTTGCTGTTCATTTTTGTTTCAAATTGAG